CCCCCCCCCCCCACCCCCATTCATTACATTGTTAACCAGACAGAGAGCAAGCATCACATAAACCATCTCCTCCAACTTTGGCACACCAAGAGTTGCAAAGCAAAGCACTTCCTTCCCCTCCATCCCCTTACTTGTCCCTCCCATGCCCATGGTCCCTGCCAGCCCCATCCGCACTCACTATGTGGCTGTTGAGGGTGACACTGTTGGTGTAGAGGAACTCAATGACGGCCAGGAAGACCTCAGGCTGCACGTTGCCCAGGATGAAGGGGCCCTGGGGTGGGATGCTGCTGGAGGAGTCCTGGCTGCCCACTGGTGCCTGGCTGAGCATCCCACGGAATGCCTGACAGCGGCACGCCAGCACACAGCGGTGTGCAAACACCTTCTGCTGCTCCTGGCCCACCACAAACATCACATCACTGTGGGGAGAGGGGACCATGAGGGACATGGTACCTGGAAAGCAAGGGCACAGCCTTCCCTGGGCTGGGACAGGGCACACAGGAAGGACCTGCTGAGTGCTTGGCACAGCACGGCAGTTCCCTTTAATTTTAACCCAGGGGTTTGTCCCAACAGGGGAACAGAACCTTGTTGGTGGCTCTTTCCAGCCATCTGAATGATGCATGCGAGGTGAGCATGACAGGTCCTCTGGAAAGCACAGAGAGCCCAGGGTGCTGGCACTGAGCAGGGCAGAGAAAGGCCAAGGAGAAAGCTGGAGAAAGTGACTCTCTCTTTTGGCACAGCAGAGCCAAGGAAAGCGTTGCTGTCACCGGGATCAGCCTCCTTGACTCATGGGAACTGACTCATCGTCTCAGGGATGTGAAGCCTCTGGCATAGCTGCCAGCAGGGCTGGCACTGACCCAACAGGACAGCTTGTGGCATACTAGAGCACAGGGACCATCCTGTTGCCCTGATCCCCTATAACCCTCCCCTCCCCAAAATGTTTCCCCAGCTCCATGGCCCCAGGAAAGGGGGGCAAGACCAGGGGAAAGGAAGCAGGCAAAGGACATGGAGTCTCCAGCCTGCAGCTATGGCCCATCTATCCCCTTGTCCCTTCCTCCATCCCAGCAGGCCAATGAGAAGACATGCCATCCAAGCTTTCACTGCCATGAGGATATGCACAAATCCATGGCCTGACCCTCAGAGTGTCCCACAGGGAGGTGTATGTGCCCACCAGAAGGAAGGACACCTGGGTCATCCCAAGTGTCTATCAGGAGACACAGGTGGGGCAGGATGGGTGGTGTGAGCAGAGCCCAATAGGTCCTCCACGACTGCTCCTGCAAGGGGGATCATTATAAACTGTTCTGTGATTGAGGTCCACAGGCCAAGAAGGGCAAGCAGAATGCAGGATGCAGGCTGTGAGACATGGGATGCCAGCTGTGATTACAGCATGCAAGGTCTGGGATGCAGGACACACACCGAAGTCTGCGTGCAAAATGAAGTCTGTAGGATGTGGGATGCAGAACAAAGGCTACAGAGCGCAGGCTGTGAGGTACAGGCTACAGGAGAAAGGATGCAGGATGTGGGATGAAGTAGATGGATGCAGAGCACAGATTTCAGGTTGCAGGATGCTGGATAAGGAGTGTGGGCTGAAAGATGCAAGCAGCAGGATGTAGGCTGAGAATGACCAGGCAGTGCCTGCCATCCACTCCTCTACTGTCTGGTACTGTGGCTGGGGAGTTTTCAGTGGGATTTTTCTTCTGGGCGGCCAAAAATTTCAGCAGGAATGGGGATTTCCTTAGATAGGCTGGCCAGGCCTCAGCAGGAAGTGGTGAAGAGGACCACAGCCAGGCAGGACATACCACGTGGATGAGGGAAGCCAAGACAGCATCTCCATCTCTGCGCCCTGCTCTGGCAAGAGGTGGCAGGAATGCCAAACCCTGTGAGGAGGGATGCCAGGCAACATGTTGCATGCCCTCCGGGGAGGCTGGAGTAAAACACCAGTAAAGCCAGGTGGGAGAGGAACTGAACAGGGAGAAAGCTGCCCCCAGGGAGCTCAGTGTACCCCCATTCCTGGCACGGGCAAGAGCCCCAGCACAGGATTTATCCTGGGATACTGCCTTGCCCTGTTGGCACCATGCCTGGCACAGAGGGGGTCTGGGCACACCCGGGAACTTTCCCTCCTCCCGAGAGAGGGTGGCTGTCCAGGGTGGGCTACCCCTGGCAGCCTGGACTCCTGATGTCATGCGGGTGAGTGGGGAGCGCTGCACCAGCCACGTCGGCCCCACCAGCTGCCCGGGGCTCCCCGAACTGCCTGCGGGCCCCAATCGGCCCAGCACGGGGGCTCGGGGCTGCGGGAAAACACGGAGCAGCCGCCGAGGGCTTCGGCGGGGCTGGGGGGAGGCGGCAGGCCCCGGGCCCTCACCTGAACTGGGGGTTGTTGACCAGGGTGCGCAGGGCAGCGCTGAAGGCGGCCACGTCGCCCTGCAGCCGCGCCGAGCAGGGTCCGGCCATGGGCTGCCTCAGGGAGCGGCGGAAGGAGCTGCAGGCGGGCGGGAGGAGGCTGCAGGATGGCGGGAGGGAATCTGGAGGCTGGCGGGAGGCCGGCCAGCCCGGGGAGGAAGCCAGCACGCTGCGTCGTACGGCACGGCCCATTGCTAGGGAAAGCTGGCAGGCAGCGCTGCGGCCGGAGGCCGGGCTGCCGGGGCAGCAGTGGGAGGGAGCGCTGGGACAGTGAGGCGTGAAGCACAACCTTGCTGCCGAGGCTGCTCCGTCCTGCACGCACCGGATGGGGAAGCAGGGCTGCATCTTGCGGCGAGTGGAATTCCTTGCCGTGTTTCATGGCTTGGCTCTGTCATCCCTGGCTGGGGACGTGCTGCCCAAGCTGGTGACTTTGCTGCGGAGCAAAGAGATAGGGGCGAAGAGAGGCAAGCAGCTGGGATTTTGGAAAAGGCAGCAGATGCACGGAGCTCACCCTCACCTCCCCCTGCACAGCCCCCATGGAAAGCCGCTGGGCATGGCTCGGTCCCCAGCAGCAGCACTGGAGCACAGCAGGGAGATTTGTCCCCTGAAACGGGGGAAGCTTTCTCTCCTGCCATGCTCCAGGCCAGAGCCCTGCAGCTCTCATGTCTGCCTAGGGTACAGGTGATTGCAGGCAGAAAAAAAAGCCTGAGAAAGGCTTGGGTGGGAAGGGTTCCAACCCCCCTGTCGTGGGCAGGGATGCCACCCACTAGATCAGGTTGCTCACCTAAGCCCAAGCCAAGTGCTGTGCCAGGGGATGCATCGTCCCCATTCTGCAGCCCTTGGCTGACCTCAAGCAGCCCAAGGAGGGGATTGCCCATGGAGGGATCCACCTTTGCTTGTCAGTGGTGCGAGGGAGAGGCGGGAATGGGGCTCGGAACTGAGGCAGCACCCCAAGGGAATGGGGTCCAGCTGGCAGTGTGCTTGGCAGCGCTAGTCAGAGGCAGGCTATAAATACCTCTGACGGGAGATAGAAACACAAAAGCTGTCTCCGCTTTCCTCTAATAGCTCGGCAGCCGGGCCAGACAAAGGCACATTGATGGAGCAGCCGTGTCGTACCAGCTGGGCTGGGCTCCACTGACAGAGAGAAACCCCGGCCAGGGATGGGAGCCCCCAGGGACCTGGTCACCCACAAGCATTACAGCGTCCCTGGAAGTGTTCAAGGCTGGGTTGGATAGGGCTCTGAGCAGTCTGGTCTAGGGGTAACATCCCTGCCCATTGAAGATGATTTGGTACTAGCTGATCTCTAAGGTCCTTTCCAACACAAGCCACTATGTAAACATACGATTCAATGGGTACTCACCCACATTCTCCCTTGGTGCAGTGGGGTATAAATACCCTAAGGATGCAAATATCTGAGCAAAATCAAGCTGTTGGGGGGCCCAGCTGCAGCTCATCCCCATAGTCGGGGCATAAAGCAACAATCACAACTCTCCACGCCCTGCCCTTCTCTTGCACATCCAACACCAGCCTGCATTTTTCAAGGCTGGCAGGGAGGTTGGAGGGCACATGCCTGGAGTAACCATATCCCTGTGCTGGCACAGCTGAAAATGCAGAGAGGGCAGGAGTGAACGGGAGTGTCCAGGGACCAGGAAAGAAGGAGTTACAGAGGCCATGCCCCAGAACAGCCCTGGAGACCTACAGTGTCACATAGCAACACTTAACCTTCCAGGAGCACAACAGGTTTGTTCCAGGAGCGCAACAGGTTTGGCTCTGCTCACACCAACTTGCAAGACAAAGATTGATCCTGGGCAGTGACATCCACCAGAGACAAGTTCCCTGAGTTTACTCTGGAAGGACAGGAGTGGGACTAAGGGTAAGTGTGGGATCACAGATGCAGACAGGAAAGAGCCACTCACCTGTGCTGGGGGAAAAGCTGGGGATGGGAAACTAGAGGGCTGTGTGGACCATGCGTTGCTGCACTGGATCAGCCCCAGCTGGCCAAGTCTGGGCAAGGAGGCGCTGGAGAAGGGAAGACAGCTTCCGTGGATCTCTCAGCCCCTCTGCATCTTGCCTCACAGACTCACATGCCAGGAGGCATGGGATTTGCAGAGGGCAGGCAGAAGTGAGGCAGAGAGGCAGGCTACAGGACACCTGCCTCACCTAACACTCAGGTACATTTCCTTTGCAGGCCACCCCTATGGCTGAGCAGCCCTTCCCAGAGACAGCCCTGCTAGCCCAGGTGCTGGCTGCAGACAACACTGAAGCCCCTTCACTCTGCACTACACGCCGTGGGTCCCAGCCCCCAGCCCGGGGCACCGAGGACAGCAAACCACTACCCCTGCTCTCCCGCCGCAACTCCATCCTCAGCCGCCGCAGCTCATTCGGGATGGTTCCAGGGAGCAGGCGTCCTTCCATTGGCCCCTGGATGCTCCACAGACGTGTTAGCTTCTCTGGGCTCCCAATTTTCCAACCCATCCTCAAGACCCGCCTTGAAAACACTTACAGGATAGGGCCAGACAAAGGCTGCAAGTTTGATGCGGAGCAGGTGCAGCGTGTGCTGGAGGGGACCCTGGCCCGTGCCTTGGGGACCACTGTATACAATCCCCAGGGCAGTGCCCCACTAGCCCAGAGCCTGACTGAGCTGCTGCAGAACCAGGCCAAGGAGGTAGTGCCACCCCGCTACAAGCTGGTCTGCCACGTGGTGTTGGGCCAGCAGAGCCTGTTGGTGGCCAGTCGGGGACTATGGGACCCTGAGACTGACAGCTTTGCCTCTGCCACCTTCTCCAACACCTCCCTCTTTGCTGTGGCCACAGTGTACGGGGTCTACTTCGAGTAGTACGTGCCTCTGCATCCACCCAGTCTTGCAGAGCTGTAGGGAGAGAGCAACCGAAATAAAGAGGTTTTGTCCAGCTGTGTGTCATACCAGGAGTCTTGAACCAGGGTGTGTGCAGGAGCAAGATAGGGATGCTCACTCCAACCTTAGCTCACACCCACACTGCAGTTCCCACTACTATGGTTTGCAAAAACACCCAAGCAGCAGCAAACACAACAAAAGGCTGGGTTTCCCTGGAACAGGCAATTGCCCAAGGCTGTTGGAGCAGCCCAGGCTGCTTCCCACAGCACAAGCTGCACCCAGGCAGATTGATTACACAGATCACCTTCAAAGCAAGCTCATAGAGCTCTTTCCTGGCTTCATGCCCAGCTCATATCCCATCACGCAAGATGTCAGTGCAAGGGCCCAGGCAACCCCTCCACCACCTGGGTCATAGCTCCTGCCTTCTGCAGCTCAGCAGAATCAGGAGAGCAGCTGGGTTGGGTCCAAGTGCAGAAAGGACTGGGAATGAGTTTGGCAGCAGCAAGGAAAAGCTGAGGCAGCTCCAGGGCTCCATCAGCATAAACAAGAGCTAATTCTGTCCTTTGTGCCAGTCCCCTGAAAGCAGTAGAGGTACCACACGGGCTCCTCACAGCCATCCTGCCTCCCTAACCTTATCCCCCAGCACCAGTCAGTGGAAAGAAGGGTCATCCCCAACAGGCAGAAGCAGCTCTGGAGCAAGAATAAGGCTGAAACCCCTTTGAGGCTTCAGCTTCAAATAAGGCAGACAGTTTGCCCTTACACAAATAAGTTTTTATTGAGGCAAGTCAGGGAGATGGGAACTGCACATGGACAGAACAACAGGAAAATAAATAATTCCATATAAATAAGATACATAAATAGTCCCACATGGCAGAGACTGCCTTGAAATAAGAAACAACCCTGGGTCCCAACAAAAAGAGGGCTTCCCCAGGCAAGTCCTCAGATCCCATCCCCCAACCCTTTATCAAACCTCAAGTTGTACCAGACAATTCACAATTTGGGAAGAGACAGGGCACAGCTTGGCCCAGCACAGCTCCCTCCTTAGTGTAACAGTTGTGGAGTGGCACTTGCCAGCCCACAGAGCCCCTGGCAGGGCAGGCAGCATCCTTCACCCCTGCCCACTCCTGGGAAGGGGATTTTCCTATCCCACAGCACCCAAAGTTTGAGATCAAGGCTGTGCCAGCCATCTCCAGGTCATGCAGAGGGTCTGCGCAACTGATGCAGCAACTGGGGCAGGGGAGCCCAAGCCTCCACTACAAGTAGTTGCCAGCCCCAAACAAGGCCCAGCCAGCCCCAAACCTGGCTGCAGGACACTCAACCCACCTCCTGTAACACCCCAGTCCATTCCATCAAGACCAGCACCACCAGAACAGGAGTTGCCACTGGGAAGACAGCAATTGCCAAGCCAGGGAGCAGCAAGGATATCCAGATCCACTGCTGTAACCACATCCACATTGTCTGAGTCCAGAGTCCAGCTGAGCACCAGCATACACGATGCCCAGGGGGGTAGCCAGCACCACATCATATCTCCCAATCTCATGGGAGGGCAGGGGGAAACCTCTACTTCCAGACAGGGTCCCCCCAAGGTCCCAGACTAGGCCTCAGCCCATTCTTGGAGAAGCTTGAGGATGTATCTGAGGCGGTGGTGGAGCTCAGGAGAGCAGCCCAGCTCCTGGATGCTGCACAGCTTGTAAGTGTAAGAGTTGCGCTCCCGGTTGATGTAGGTGACAAGGCAGGAGTGGTCAGGCTTGCTAATGATCACCTTGGTGTGGTCGTTGTAGAAATTCACCTAGGAGACAGGTTGGGCTTGGTTTAACCCATGCTTCCCACAGCATGTTGGGAGCCAGGATAGAACCACATTTCCTGCCTCAACCCGTTCCTCCTCCCCAACCTGCCTGGGAGCATCCCTGCCCATGTCCCATGGCAGGAATGAGCCAGCCCTAGCACAGGGGCAGACAGAAGCATCCAACTGTAGTGCTGTGTCTCCCCATGGGCTGGGGAAGCTGCAACCAGCAGCTCCAGGCACTGGAGCAGCATCCTGCACCCACAGCTGTTTTCACAGCTGGATTTTCCATTTGGGCTGTGGCAGACAAGATCCAACACAGACCAGAAGACCCCCATCTGACCTCCTCTTCACCAGGGTCTGAGCATCTCCACTGTTCCACACATACCTGGAGGGTGCCGCTGCTGAAGAGCATGAGCAAGGCTTGGTCAGTCTTCACCCACTGCAGGAGGAGCAGGGCTGGCTGCCCGAGGTCATCTATGCTGGGCAGGTCACCTCCCTTTGAGAGAAGCGTCTGCATAAGCCACTGGTCCCACACGTGGGAGCACTTTCACCAGCACACACAACACCAAAGCTGGGTACCCCCTCAGTGGAATCCCCATATCCAGGGCACAACCCTGCCACAGCTGCAAAAGCAGGGAGTCCAACCAGCCCAAGTTGGGTGGTCAAGCCATGACCCAGTGTCCAGCCCTGGACCCCAGCACTCACCTTCATGAGATGCTGCTCCATGTAGGACGCAAAGTAGCGCAAGACACTCATTTGTCCCTGCAGCTGCTCGGGGATGGCAGACACAGAGAACACCAGGTGTTTGCTGTTGGTTGGGTTGTAATGTACAGTCCTGGAGGGAGCAGAGCACGAGTTTTGGGGATGTCTACCCTGGTATAGATTCCCCCTTCCCACCCAAGGGGCTTCCTCAGAGACAGAGATCAGCCCCCAGCCCCCATTCCCACTGCTCACCTATGGTTGGGGGAGAGCGTCATGTGCGTGCCATTGTTGAAGAGGACCCCAATGCTGCGGTTGGAGAGCTGGTAGCCAAAGCCATACTTGTTGGAATAATCCACCCACTTGCTCACCCAGACAAAGTGCTCATGGCGGGCCAGGGAAGCTGGGTTTTTCTCCGCTGTTGGAGAACAGAGGAGGTGAGCAGTGCAGCCAGCCAACCCCTGTCCATCTCACCTTCCCAAGGGGAACAGATCCCCACAGCAGGCTCTGGCACCATTCAGGGTGCTATTTGTACCCCAAGTAGCAGCCATGCCTTCATCCCATGGGGAAGGGGATGCACAGCACCCTATCCCAGCCCAGAGCAGTCCAACCAGTTTACCTGGAGGCATGGAGGAGAGGCAGGTCCGCAGGAGCCGGACAGCTGACTCGATGATGGCAGAGGCAGTGACACAATCTTCAAAGGCTGCGGGGAGAAGATGACAGGCTGAGTCAGCCAGCCCTGCTATCAGTCCAGCCATGACCGGAAGCTTGGGGCAGGCTGGGGTGGCTGGGACAGGTATTGCTCACCTTCACAGCTGCTGGCCATTGTTCCCCGGACAGAGGGGGACGCAGACTTGTGAGATGTCTCCTCCACCACTGTCTCCACAGGGCTGGAGCTGGCACTGCGGCACGATACAGGAGTGGCCTGTGGAGAAACCTGGCTTTATCAGTCTGCCTGCTCCCCCAAAGAAAGGCACGCATGGCTTCAGATGTTCTTACCTCATTCCCTTCCACAGTTTTATAGCTCATCTGCCGACAGATTGAGGTCTTCATCAGCCCAGTAACCAGCTTGGAGATGTCATCCCTGTCCTCTGAAGAGCCCTTCTTGGCTGAGGAGAGAGCAAGAGATGAGCACACTGCTAGCATAAAGGATGGGAACATCCAGGTCACTCATCCCAGCTGCTCAGCTCTCCCTTATCTATTCCCATGCCCATGAAGGCAAGGAGGGTGTCAGACAGCTGCCTCCCACTTTCACTTCCTAGTTCTCATGCAACACAGGACTTCCAGGAGGAACTGCCCGCACAGTATCCGCTCTCCAGGCACACACCCATGCCGGGCCACCAGGACAAGAAGCGCAGGGGCACACCCAGCTTATGCTCTCCCACAGGCAGGGGGTCCAGAGAGATGCATTAGGAGGTCTCTCCAGAAAACAGGATCTACTTCTTCCTGAAGGAAGAGTCACCCAGAGACTCCTTGGAGAGGGACAAACTTACCCTTAGGTTTCTTCTTCCCAAAGAGTGTCTTGGTGACTTTAGCAAACAGAGTCTTTGCAGGATTGGGGGGACTCAGCTCTGGAGCCATCACACAGCTGCTGGGAGGGAGTTTCTCAGGCGTGTAGCCCTGCAGAGAGGTCAAGGGAGAGGTTTGGTTTCCACAGGCCACATGCTCCAGGCAGAGCAGCTGCCCTGGGCTGACCACAGTCATTCACATCCCTCCTGACAGCCAGCTTGTGTTTCCGTCAAGCCTCGGAACCATGACTGGCATTAGCACAGGAAACAACCCCTTGCTATAGCAACAAGGCAGCAGAAGCACACCAGATCCCTCAGTTCCTTTGGCTGGCATTTGGGCAGGACAGCGGATGCTTCCTTTGAAGGACTGACACTTAGGACAGGACAAAGACAGCATCCTGCACAGCCCAAAAAGTGTTATCCCACCTGGAGAAGGGTCCCTTGACCCAGGCCCCCACCCACCCACCTTGAAGAACTCATGGTCCAAAATCTCCTCAAGGGTGAGCCGGTCCTGGGGGTTGCGTCTGAGGATGCCAGTGATGAGGTGCTTGGCAGGCAGGGAGAGGAAGACGGGGAGGGTGTACTCCACCTGCTTGATACACCTGTACGTCTCCTTGAGGTCAGAGGTCTCAAAGGGAGGGTTCCCACACAGCAGGGTGTACCTGGGAGGGGACAGGCATGCCACTGTCAGATCCCCACCAGGCTTGTGACTCAGCAGCACTTAAAGCAAGGAAGTTATTGGCATTTGGCCGGCCACACCTGGCTGAGAGCACCACTTCCAGCCCTGACAGCCACGCTCACATCCGGCCACGCTTCCTCCTAGCAACTGTTTAGAGCAACAGGCAAGGAGCCTTGAGGAAGGACAAAGAGATGGCAGGCAAAGGCCACCCACTGCACCCACCTGCACGGCCATCAGGGTGGGAAATGGAGCAGGAAGCTTGCAGGCAGCAGCCGGGAGAGGGGCTGGCTGTGCCGAAACAGCAATCACT